GTACCTATTTATCTTTTGATTTGCACGAAATTTGGCACTGCGATCTCAATTAAGTCTAGAATGGTGTTTCATAAAAATCGATTCAGATGTAGATATAGCTCCCATATATATTTTCGTCCAATTTAATGTAAATGCTGTACCTTCGATTTGCACGAAATTTGGTACAGCGTATCGAATTGGGTCTATAATGATGTGTGCCAAGTTTGGTGAAATTCGGTTCAGATTTAGATATAGCTCCCATATATATTTTCGTCCGATTTAATTTAAATGGCGCCCAAAAGTTCTTATTTATCTATCGATTTGTACTAAATTTGGCATAGCGCACTGAATTGAGTCTATAATGATGTCTGCCAAGTTTCGTGAAAATCGATTCAGATTTAGATATAGCTCCCATATATATTTTCGTCCGATTTAATGTAAATGGCGCCCAAAAGTCCCAATTTATCTTTCGATTTGCATGAAATTTGGCATAGCGCACTGAATTGAGTCTAGAATGATGTGTGCCAAGTTTCGTGAAAATCGGTTCAGATTTAGATATAGCTCCCATATATATTTTCATCCGATTTAATGTAAATGGTGTACCAAAGTCCCAATGTATCTTTCGATTTGCACGAAATTTGTAATAGCGCACTGAATTAAGTCTATAATGATGTGTGTCAAGTTTCATAAAAATCGGGTAAGATTTCGATATAGCTCCCATATATATTTTCGTCCGATTTAATGTAACTGGTGCCCAAAAGTTCCTATTTATCTTTCGATTTGCATGAAATTTGGCATAGCGCACTGAATTGAGTCTAGAATGATGTGTGCCAAGTTTCATGAAAATCGGTTCAGATTTAGATATAGCTACCAAATATATATTTTCGTCCGATTTAATTTAAATGGCGCCCAAAAGTCCTTATTTATCTATCGACTTTCATGAAATTTGGCATAGCGCACTGAATTAAGTCTATCATGATGTGTGCCAAGTTTCGTGAAAATCGGTTCAGATTTACATATAGCTCCCATATATATTTTCGTACGATTTAATTTAAATGGCGCCCAAAAGTCCCTATTTATCTTTCCTTTTGCATGAAATTTGGCATAGCGCACAGAATTGAGTCTAGAATGATGTGTGCCAAGTTTCGTGAAAATCGGTGCAGATTTAGATATAGCTCCCATATATATATATTCGTCCGATTTAATGTAAATGACGCCCAAAAATCCCTATTTATCTTTCGATTTGCATGAAATTTGGCATAACGCACTGAATTGGGTCTAGAATGATGCGTGTTAAGTTTCATAAAAATCGGTTAAGATTTCGATATAGCTCCCATATATATATTCGTCCGATTTAATGTAAATGGCGCCCAAAATTACCTATATATCCTTCGATTTGCACGAAATTTGGCATAGCGCACTGAATTGAGTCTATAATGATGTGTGTCAAGTTTCATAAAAATCGGTTAAGATTTCGATATAGCTCCCATATATATTTTCGTCCGAGTTAATGTAAATAGTGCATCAAACTCCTAATGCTTGTCCGATTGACACGAACTTTTGCACAACGTATCAAATTGAGGATGGCTTTATTGCGTTTTGTTGAAATTTGTTGCAGATTCAAACATAGCTTCCATATATATTTGCGACCTATCAAATAATCAACGGCTGTCTAATGGAGATTAAATTTCGAACAGCGCAGCACACCACATAGCTTGTGTCAAGTTTGCTATAAATCGATTTCCAAAAATTTAGCATAGGTTGATGTTAGTCGGTTCACATATATAAAGAGATTGCACATTTAAGTTCGTTCCGTTTGTCATATGGCAATGTTCCTTCGTAACGGAGACGTCTGTTAGGATACATATGACGAATATACCCAAAGTGTTGAAGGGTAGCATATAGTCGGCCCTGTCCGACTTTACAACTTTTCTTGCTGGTTTTCGTTTAATTTACATAATACTTCTCTTATGGTTTTATAGTAATTAGTAATACAAACGTTTTTTTTCGGCTTCAAAAGCCTGATGATACAGGTAATGATATGACTCGTGGATTCCAATGTTGTTGAACAATGCCGCGTTCGTCTCACTCCAACTGGGATTTTGGCCCCAATTTTTTTAAGACATGGACAGCCTCTTCATCCAATATCAGGCGAATGGAATGTGTGATGTTTTGAAGCAAACTTTGCATCATCTATTATCATTACAAAGCCTAGATCAAATTCCGCTCTAGTAAGGGTCAGTTTTTTTTTAAATTATAAATTTTATTAAATTCAAGCAAATCGAATAATCGATTTGATCAATATTAAATCTGAAAACTATTTGATAAAAACATACCTTGCAAAACAAAAAGAGAATAATAAGACCTGTGTGCAATTCCGACCACCGCAAACCATAGACTGAGGGTATATATCTGATGGCAACACTGACTGACATTATTTTTACTTGTTTTTGTATATAATACCGTTTTGAATACATCGTAACTTCGTTCATTGTTGTTGATTTTTTTATTTTCGATGTCAATAATGTACGATATTCGGTTTAAGTTGTAATCAATTATTGGAATATTCGAATGACCTCGAATGTTCAAATGCTTTTTATTGAATTTGGTTTTATAATATATGGCCCTTTTATAAATGCAGTCAATTGTCGATTTGTTGAATTGAATTTACACAATCATGTCAGCGATAATTTCTATTATTTCACTGCATATTATTAGTTCTTATCAATTTCATTTATTGTTGTAAACTTTCGTTTATTAAAATGCAAATTTGGATTTTTTTTTTTTGAAAACACATCGTAACATTAAGTGGGGTCACTGTATAGACTGTGCCAGTTAAATATATTGAAACGCAATTTCTTTAATTTTTATTTAACAAAATTGTTTTTATTTAAAATTTTTTTAACTCATTGCTTTAAACTTCAAAGTTGATCTGAACTCCAAAGTAGAATTGAATTGATATTTGTTTCAATATAATTTCTTACAACAAAAACATTAAAGGTAATGGGTTATTTAAAAAGAGAGATGATAACAATAATAAATTTTATTGGGCCTAAAAAAAATTCTCGACTCGAATCTAGTCTTGAAAAATATTTTTAAAAAATTCTCCCCTTTCGAAGCGCATTACAAAATATTTGAAAAAAAAATCCATACCTTCTGGGAGCCTTAAAATATATTTTTTTAAAATAATCCCCCGCCATTGATGGAGCCTTGAAAACATATTTTTAAAAAAATATACCCCTTTTTGGAACACTGAAAACTATAAAAAAAAATCCACAACATCGTTGGAGCCGTGAAAAAAATATTTTTTAAAAATCGAAGCATTTTGTGGGGCCTTGAAGAAGGAAACATTAAAAATCCAAGCCTTTATTGGAGCTTTGAAAAAATATTTTTAAAACATCGACAAATTTCTTTTTTATTGATTTCTCTTTCGAGATGAGCTACATGATCGGAGTTGCAATGAAAAGGAAAGCCAGAGAGATACTACATTCCCACCACTATGCAACGCGTTTCGCTGTTGGTTATGCGGCTCGTCAGGCACATTGGGCAAAGAGGCTTACAAATGTCTTTACTTGATAAGTTGTATTTATGTCGACTATTGTTGCGAAATTGCATCTACGAATTAAATTCAACCGTGTCAAGGTTCGGACATTTGGCATCACACCAGAACATTCATTTTCAGAGCAGATTTTTCTTGTAGTGACGGACGGACTTTTTTTTTCCATACAGACTACAATATTTTTCTTCAATGGGATGCAACTGCATATTGTGCAACCTTGGGCAGATAAGGAGGTGGCTTTGAACGCTAAGGCGCTGGACATCAACAGATGCCATGGGAACCAGGGTTCAAATCCCAGCCGGGCTCAAGCTGATTTTTTTGTGTTTGGTTTTTATGCCTTTTTAGGGCGAAGGATCATTCATGTAAATGTTTTTTTATTAATTTCTCTTTCGATATGAGCTACATGATCGAAGTTACAATGAAAAGGAAAGCCAGAGAGATACTACATTCCCACCACTATGCGACAATAATAAATTTTATTGGGCTTAAAAAAATTCCCGACTCCAATCTAGTCTTGAAAAATATTTTTAAAAAATTGACGTCTTTGGAAACGCATTAAAAAATATTTTTAAAAAAATCCATACCTTGTGGGAGCCTTAAAATATATTTTGTGAAATAATCCCCGCCTTTGATGGAGCCTTGAAAACATATTTTTAAGAAATATACACCTTTTTGGAACATTGAAAACTATTAAAAAAAATCCACACCATCGTTGAAGCGTGAAAAATATATTTTTCAAAAATCGAAGCATTATTTGAAGCCTTGAAAAAAAAACATTAATAATCCAAGCCTTTATTGGAGCTTTGAAAAAATATTTTTAAAACATCGATAAATTTCTTTGGAGCCTTGAAAAACAAATTTTCAAAAAATTCAAGTCTTTGTGGGAGCCTTCAAATATTACTTAAAAAAAATCACGCCTATTTTGAGACATAGAAAAAACTATTTAAAAAAAGCACGCATTTGTTGGAGACTAGAAATCTTTTATTTATTTTTTTTTTTGTGGGCCATTAAAAAATATTTTTAAAAAATGCACGCCATTGGAAGGGCATCATGAAAAATATTTTTAAAAATATCCGTATCTTCATGGGAGCTTTGAAGAAAAAATATTTTTTTTTATTCAATGCCATTTTTTTTGAGTGCTCAAAAATTGTTTTTAAAAAAATACACCTTTGTTTGAGCTTCAAAAACATTAAAAAAAAAAACAACACGCCTTGTTGGGGTTTACGGTGAATATTTCCATGTGTTGCAAACAGAGAAATGAAAGCCTCCGTTCTGTAGTGGAGGGGGACAAAAAAAAAAAAAAATTGCGTTGTTTTTATTTTTGCGGAATATTTGTTTCTGATAAGCCTGCCTCGAAGTCAACATGTAATGTTCGCAATGTCGCCACTCATCAGTTTGCATTAGAACCTCGATCGGTATAGATTAATCAAAATGAAAATCAAAGCTATTCTTTTATTCGTAGTAATAGTATTACAAATAATAGTGGGAAATAAGGCAGACGACAATGTCGTTGCCTCCACCGTCAGTACCATAGTTGAGGAAGACACCACTACCATATCCGGCGACATGATTACCCTCCTCAAGAACGACACCACTACGGTCTCCAACGACGACACAGCCATCCCCGAAAACACCACTATCATCTCCGACGAAGACACCACTACCACTGAAGAATATTATGTAATTATAAGTCTAAAATCTTGAATTCGAAATATTTCAATAAAATTTAATTCACAATCAACATTTTAGAATCCCTATGAAGACGAACAACAACTGTTTCTGTGGAGTGATTTATTTCTGAAAGTGAATGAAGTATTGGTGGTGTCGAAGAACATGAACAGTGAAACGAAGGAAATGCACACCGAAATGAAGGAAATGCACAACGAAACGAAGGAAATGCGCAGCGAAATGACTAGAATGTATAGCGAAATAAATAAACTAAACACCAATCTGCTGGACGTGACTCAGAAGTAAGTATTTGAAACTGAAAATTAAGTGAATTAAATTTTAAAAGATTTCGATTTTATTCTCCTATTTTATTTCAGAATTGATGATTTGACCAAAAGGTAAGATACTCTACTCCGTGATAAACTTCTTCGTGTCCAATAATGGTGTTCGAGAAATCGAACCACACCCACCCAACCTACCCTCAAAAACATCCAACGATAAAGAAACCAAAATATCCAATCCTTAATATGATTTGAGTATTCAATATCAAAATTTTATTCGAATAAGTTGACGATTAATCACATTTGTTTTATTTCCAGGCAAGGGGAACTAGAAGGGAACATGGCAAAAATAGTGGAGCAACAAATGTCATCGATGAATGTCACCTTGATGGAGAGGTATGTATAAAAATATTTACAGAGACCAGTGTATATTAAATGTGTCACTCCGTTTGGATCACCTCGAAATATTGATCGGAGATCCAAATAGATTCTATGCATCCATGATCAGAATAAATGTATGTCGTCTCATCATGAAGATGACCCGCTGGTGATATGAGAAGACACCCAGTATTTTGGCAGGTCTGATTATTGAAATGAAAGCCTCCGTTCTATGATGGAGGGGACACAACAAAAAAAATTGCGTAGTTTTTATTTTTGTGGAATATTTGTTTTTGATAAGCCTGCCACGAAGTCAACATGTAATGTTCGCAATGTCACCACCCATCAGTTTGCATTAGAACCTCGATCGGGATAGAATATTCAATATCAACATTTTATTCGAATATGTTGACGATTAATCCAGGGACCGAAAATAACAGTTATTTTTTAAAATGGGAACAAAAAATCTTTATGTTAGAAACACTCTCAGTTCCCATGTTAAGGATTATTTTTTAACGGAAAAAAATAAACGTTGATTTTTAACTGTTAAAAATGATTTTTATTTTTTCCGTCAAAAATAAAAGTCTTTTTGGGATTTTTATTTTTTCCGTCAGAAAATAAAAGTCTTTTTGGGATTTTTATTTTTTTTTTTCGTCAGGAAATAAAACTCTTTTTACGTAAATAAACATATAGAGTTTGGTACCAGTTATGTAACCTTTGACCTAATAGTCAGGGGAATGATTCTTTAATTAATATTCATGATTTGGTACCCTAGACTATTTTTTAAAATTTTATAACAAATATTTTTTACCTTTGATCTTGATTACTTATGTGTACACTTATTGTAATAAGGACAGAGATTTATAAATTGTAATTTTATAACTGATTACAAGTTGTATAAACTACTTTCCGTAAAAAGAGTTTTATTTCCTGACGGAAAAAATAAAAATCATTTTTAACAGTTAAAAATCAACGTTTATTTTTTCCGTTAAAAAATAAATAATTAAAGTGGATTTTTTTTTATTTAGGTCACATAATAACAGTTATTTTTTACCTGATTTGATATAAGTTATAACCGTTACGGTCCCTGGATTAATCACATTTGTTTTATTTCCAGGCAAGAGGAATTGCAAGGGAACATGACAAAAATAGCGCAGCAAATATCATCGATGAATGTCAACTTGATGGAGAGGTATGTATGAAAGTTTTTACAGAGACCAGTGTATATTAAATATGTCACTCCGTTTGCATAACCACGAAATATTGATCGGAGATCTAATACATTATATATATATATATATACACGATCAGAATAAAATTCATGTCGTGTCATCATGAAGATGGTCCGCTGGTCATGAGAAGACACCCAGTATTCTGGCAGGTCTGATTATTCTTCCACTGCATATCACTTTCATTCACGAACAACACTGGTGCTACATAGTTAGCCACAGACCTGCTCATCGCCTTGTAAGAGGTCATCAAGGTTACCGTATCTGCGCCCCAAGTACTGCCGTCAAGCGATTTGGGGACATTTTTCCTACTTTTCATCTTATCGCAGATAGCTGTGGTTTGCGTGGACGATTTGAACATGCTGTTGAATGTGACCACGAGAATATTGGGGTAGTGTGTGGTCGAAATCGCATCGGAGGGCGTGTAATACCTGAACGGTAGAGGTTAAAGAGATATCCTTGAGGAACTCCCCGCTTTTACGGCGTTTGGGCTTCTTTTTCAGGAACTCTACGACTCGGGTCCACACATACAGTTGATTATCCAACGTTGCAAATTTGGCCGGAGAAAAGTGTTCTCGATATCCTCGAACAATTTGGCATGATTGACTGTACCAAAGGTTTTTTATAGTTCAAGCGATATCAACACTGTGGGCAACAATTTTCATTGACCTTGGTTTCCTGCCGGCGCCTCGACCAATATATTCAACCGATTCATGGGATAAATAATGGTATTAAATGCTGCATATTGGACGGCTGTTAAAGAGACCTGCGGTGGACTTTCGTACTTCGACGAAGAAGGTGACGTCGTGGACAAAGACTCGCTGGGGATTGCGCTGTAGCACCATCAATCCGGTATTGTAAAACCCGCTGGGACAAGAGAAGTTATCTTTGTCTGCTTTTCCAGTCGCTCGAGAGAGCCACATTTAGGTCCCGAACACCATAAAATTTAAAGTTTTTGCTTATGATCGCTAAATATTTAGGGGATGAAATGAACCAAAAGTTTTTTCAACCGTTCAATATAGACCAAACATTTAATATTCGAACACCAGGAAATATTATAGGGAACCGATCCCTTCACTAACAAATTTCAAGCTCAATCTACAAAATGCCTTAGGCATTTTTATTTCAATTTAGTTTTGTTCGAATATCCTATGGAGTCCATTAAACAATCATTTTTATTTCCAGACTACGTCAACAAGAATTCGATATGAGGCAAATACTACAGGACGTTTCGAAAATAAGTCCCACCGAGAACGAGGAAGTCAACTGGAGGTATGTATGACATCATTTAAAATTATCAGTATCAGTCGGTAGGGCTAGTGTAGAGATACGCAGTCAAGCGCAAAAGTAGAATTTTCGATTTTTGCCTCTGACAAAAAACTCGATTTTTAGACTTTTCGATTTTTGCCATTGACCAAAAACTCGATTTTTCGATCTTTTGATTTTGAAATTTACCGACTAATTAAAAATCTACTAAAAATTTTATTATATGGAGGGTATATTAATTTTGTTTTTCCGTGTGTAACTCATCGAAATAATCATTTCCGACCCTATAAAGTATATATATTCTTGATCAGCGTAAAATGCTATGACCATGTAGCCGTGTCCGTCCGTCCGTCTGTTGTAATCTCTCTAGCGTCTAAACGAATTGAGATAGATCAACTAAATTTTGCATAGAGTCGTCTTTTGTCTTTTTTGTTCGAAGGTGGACTTTATCGGCCCACGTTTAGGCATAGCTCCCATATAAAGGTACCCCCCCCCCCCCCCCAATTTTCGGTATTTTGGCGTTCTAAGACTCTGCTGTAATCATTTTACCTGCGGAGGATATCGATATAAAAAACTAGAACGTAAGGTTCGATAGTGAACTATATATGAACCCGCATTTAGGTCTAGCCCATGTGTGGGAGGTACCAGAAGGAGTGGACCGATATTCCCCAATGTTCGAACTATCTTTGGAAGAAATAATAAGATGGGCAAAGTTTGGATGAAATCAAAATTTTCTGAAAAAAAATTTGGTCCAACGAATCACGGGGTCTAGAACCAATATTTCTATGTGGCATATTTTCACCGTGTCAAAGTGTATACATCCTCATTAGCCATAAGGCTGAAGGAATAATTATTCTGAAATTTGTATTATGGTTTACATAATCGGTTTGTAGAAATGTCGGTATAGATCCACTTTTTGATATTTTCCCTATATTTTCATTTCAGGTACCTGTGAGTATACCTATGGTGGAGGGCCCGGCCGAACTTAACGCTTTTTCGCTTGTTTATATTAAAATAGTTACCTAATTTGTTCCGCGTTTAGGGTTTGGTTCTAAGACTCTGTTGTAATCATTTCACCTGCGAAGGATATCGAGATAAAAAACTAGAACGTAGGGTTCGATAATTAACTATATGTGAACTATAATACGCATTTAGGCCTAGCTCCTGTGTGGGAGGTACCAGAAGGAGTGGACCGATATTTTCCTTCTTCGAACTTGAACGAAGTTTGGAAGAAATAATAAGATGGGCAAAGTTCGGATGAAATCTAAATTTTCTTAAACTGATTTGGTCCAAAGAAACATGGGGTCTAGAACCAATATTTCGATGAGGCACATTTTCACCGTGTTAAAGTCTATACACCCTCATTAGCCATAAGGCTGAGGGTATAATTATCCTTTAAAATTTTCTAAAATGTGTATTATGGTTTACATAATCCGTTTTTAGAAATGTCGGTATAGGTCCACTTCTTGGTATGTTCCCTATATTTTCATTTCTAGTACCTGTCAGTATGTCTATGGTGGAGGGTATCCAAAGTTCGGCCCGACCGAACTTAACGCTTTTTCACTTGTTTTTGTATGAATTGGTGTAAACAAATAAAAGAAAGTTGAAGAATATAGGTTTGTTTGATATCCCAATAATTTGCAACAATTTGTACAAATTGTTACTGAATGTTGTTTGATAACTTAAAAGTTCAGTAAATGAGAATGAGTTGAGAGAGAAATTTTTGGCAGTTTTGTACTGGGTATTGAAAAATTCTTACTGGTAAAATGTACTCAGTAAGAATTTTTATGTTTATCACCACACTGTGGTACAGGGTATTATTTTTTTGTGCATATGTTTGTAACAGGCAAAAGAAAACGAGATTGACACATGGTTCCTTTTGAGAATATGCATAGAATCACTTTCTGAGTCGATTTATGCATATCCGTCAGTCCGTCCGTGTATCCGTCAGTAGATATTAAATTGTAAACAAAGTACAGGTCGCATTCGATTTGGATGAAATTTGGCTTAGCTCACTTATTTGGCCCAAGGACGAACCCTATTGAAATTGTAGAAAATCGGTTCAGATTTAGATATAACGCCCGTATAAAGTTTTGTCCGATTTAAGGTAAATGGGGCACCAAAGTCCATATATATCTTTCGAATTGGCTGAAAGTCACTACATATATTTCGATTTGCACGAAATTTGGCATAGGGTACTAAATTAGGACCCGAATGATATGTGCTAAGTTTCGAGAAAATCGGTTCAGATTCAGATCCACCAAAATCCCTATATATCTTTCGATATGCCCGAAATTTTACATGGCGTACTCAATTGAGTCTAGAGTGACGTGTGCCAAATTTCGAGAAGATCGAAAGATATGTAGGGACTTTCAGCCAATTCGAAAGATTTCCGATTTATATATAGCACCTTCGTCGGTAAATGGGGCTCCAAAGTCTCTATATATCTTTCGATTTACACGAAATTTGGCATAGAGTACTGAATTATATCCAGAATGATGTTTGCTAAGTTTTGTGAAAATCGCTTCCGATTTAGATTTAGCTCCCAAATATATTTTCGTCCTATTTAATGTAAATGGTGCACTAAAGACCCAAAGTTTGGCCGACCGGCACACAATTACAATGTACTGAAGATACTATAATTGAATGTTTTGTACGTTGAAGCATTTCTAACAAACGATTTTATATATTTGTTCACTCGGGACAAGTGTAGTTACATAAATTTTGTTGTTTTTTCTGTATTTTTATTTACACTTTATGTTGTTCTGCGTGTTCAAGGGGATTTTTGAGTCTTTGAGATGGATATCTGTCCCTACCATTGCTCGTGTGTTAAGTTTCGAGAAAATCGTGTTAGATTTCGATTTAAGTTTCTTCAATTTTATGTCAATGTTCTTTCGAAAAGGCGACGTCTGTTATGATAAATATGTGGAATATATTCAAAGTTGTGAAGGGTATCATATAGTCGGCCCAGTCCGACGTTACTACATTCCTTACTGGTTTTGTTTGTTTTGTCAAATATAAAATTATTTTTTTTCCGTCAATTTAATAATCTGAAATTAAAATATACAACGTATTATAGCATGTATTAAACAAAATTAGTTTATTAAAATTTGTTATTTTGTATCTGATTTCTTAACATCTTCAAGTTGTGACAGATACATTTGATTTCTTACCGGATGTTGTTCGATAACTCTTTCCAATATTTCCACATGAGAGAACAAACTCTCTGAACATAAACTACTGTGTAATTTTTACTCAGAAAGTTATTTTTAAATTTTGGACTTTGTGATAATAAACCAAGTATTTATGAAGAAAACTGAAAATCTATTTGCGATTTTCTCAAAAATCAAAAGTCGACATCGATTTGGCGAATTGTCAGTTCGCATTTATGACGCGAAAGGAGATGGAATTCGACACATCCATGAACCCAATTGAAATTGGTGAAAATCGCTTTAGATTTAGATATAGCTGCCATAAATAGGTATGTCCGATTCCAAACTAGTTCAGTTTTGTTGAAATCGGTTAATATATATATATATATATACATATACATATATATAATTTCGGAGTTGCCTACTAATGCGAAGATTGTTTTTAATATTTTTCTAGAGAAAACCTTTGGACTTTACGATATTGGACAACAATTGCCAGTCGCAAGGACGGCTCAGTCGATTTTAACAGGAACTGGCGAGCTTATAAGGTGGGTTTCGGTAAACCACCTCACGACGATTTCTTTATTGGCCTAGACAGATTGCATGAATTGACAACAACCGTTCCTAACATCCAACTTAAAGTAATTTTAAGAGATTGGGATGATGAGGAACGTTATGCCCTCTATGATGGCTTCCAAATCGGAAATGAAGCCGAGAAATATCGACTCAAGGTACTAGGCAAATACAGTGGCACTGCTGGTGATTCCTTGTCATCTCACAAAGGTATGAAGTTTACTACCTTCGATGAGGATAATGATAACAGTGGTGGTAATTGTGCCAAGCAAATGGAAGGCGGTTGGTGGTTTAATAAGTGTTCGCACAGGTATAGCTATCATTTTTGATTACACATTATTTTTGTTTTCAATTTCTTTTCCTAACTTTTCTTTGCAGTCATCTATTTGGAAAATATAGATATGAAGCTAAAACACAAGGCATAGAATGGTACCATTGGAAAAATACATATAAGTATTCATATGTATATGCCGAAATGCTCATTAGAGCAAAACCGGAATAAAAATATATTTTTTAATGTTTATAATATTGAATATTGAAAATAAATAAATAAATGACAATTTATTTTGACTATCTTAGTCTGCTCGCAAGAAAAAAAAATAACTCCATTTTTTATTTATTTTATAAGAAAGGATGAATTTATCCAAGAATATTTTGATGCCATCAAAGTAATTACAACGGGGTATAATACACTTCTGTCCAAGGGGGTTTACCAAACTCAGGACCAAATTTCTTGCAGTTTTGTTTTAGATTGGGGAAGCCAAATAATGAAATTCACCTATGGAATTCAGGTATTTTCAAAAAAAAAAAAATGTTGAGGTAAGTATACTTAAGAAAAAAATTTAAAAAATTAAAAATTTTCATTGGCTGTTGATATAAAAAATCAAAGAAATTGGCCATATTTGGAAATCTTGATTACATTTTGTAAAAAAATATATGTATATAAATTAATGGACCTTGGAAATATATTGGAAACCATGTTAAAACGTCATTTAGTTCGGACAGGCAGAACATTTTATACTCTACACAATATGCCTTAAATCGGTTGGGATCTTATGTTAAATCAGAGACCTATATTGCATAATTTCGGTATAAATGTATGAAAGCCCTGAGGAACACTTTGTTACAAATTACAGTCATGTCGGTGGGGGGAAATCTAGCCAAAGCCTTCCAAAATATCGAAAATGAATTGGTGCCGTTATATGGGAGCTATACCAAAACGCGGAACGAAAATTATTGATAGGAAAATTTTAAACCCCATTAGAACCTGAAATAAACAAATTAGAGCCAATTCCATTGAAAAATTCACCCACAATACGGAATAAAGGGGGGGGGGTGTACCATTATATGGGTATGTTTTCCGGAATCATGGGTCGGTACTGATAATGTTTGATACCCTACACAATATGCCTTAAATCGGTTGGGATCTTATGTTAAATCAGAGACCTATATTGCCTAATTTCGATATAGACGTATGAATGCCCTGAGGAACCATTTGTAACAAATTACAGTCATGCCGGTAGGGGGAAATCCAGCCAAAGCCTTCAAAATACCGAAAATAGATCGGTACCGTTATATGGGAACTATATCCAATCGTGGAACGATATTGATTTTTTTATTGATGGGAAGCTTGGAAACCCCATTAGAAGCTGAAATAAACAAATTAGAGAAAATTCTATTGAAAAATTCACCCACAATACGGAATAAGGGGGGTGTACCATTATATGGATATACTTTCCGGAATCATCGGCCGTTACTGATATTTTTTGGTGGATTGACAACTCAAAAATCATCAAAAATATCTAAAATTACAGCCAAATTGGTTGAAAAATGTGTCAAAACCCTTCAAAATACCGAATATTTGGAGGTACCCTTATATGGGGACTATACTAAAAATTTAATCAATTTTGATAATTTTTGGTAGGAAGATGTATTACCCAATGAGAACCCAAAAAACCAAATTGCTGCTGTTTAGGTGGAAAAACGTGAAAAAAACTACAAAATACCAAATATTTGGGGGTACCCTTATATGGGGGCTATTCTAAAAACTGAACCAATTTTGATAATTTTTGGCAAGGAGATTTATTACCCAATGAGAACCCAAAATAACATATTACATCTGATTAGGTTGAAAAACGTGTCCAAGCTCCGCAAAATACCGAATATATATATTTTTTTGGGTACCCTTATATGGGATATACCCCGAAACATTAGCCTATATTGATAATTTTTGGTAGAAAAGATTTTCTTTCAAATAAGAATCCTAAAAAATATAAAGATCCCCAAAATAGCGAATAATGAGAGGTGCCGC